AAAAGTTTTTTTTCCCAAAAATGATACAACCCAATTACCGACTGTAAATTTACATATATTGTTATGCTAACATATCCTCCTAACCCTCTGTTGCAATTTTGCAATTTTATCCAAGTTGCTAGATGTTAGCCTGGGTACCATCCTATTTGTATGCCGGGGCTAAAATATGTACAATAGGTGTTCATTAATGGTTGTATATGTTGATCGTGGGCTCTTTTTTCTTGATATCCTACATGTACATCATGGCAGAACTGCAAACAGCAGTCAAAGCTATGTCAAGCTGGTGGTCAGGAACTCTGGAGGATGGGTGTTGTCACAGGGTAGGGGGTCCTGCCTGCAACTAATTAACCCACTCAAGCTGATCATATTTTCCTTGAGAAAGAAGCCTTGAGAAAGAAGCCGTTTCTTCAAGTTGGTACATATTTTGAAGGAATCTTGATTTCGTGCATGAAAGCTGTTGTTACTAATGTTACAAATGACAGTAGATTAGTCTTTAAAAATTAGAGTTGGAGTGAAATTTGTGTACTGTACCCCCATCTAGTAGACAGATCTGCTCAACTTAAAATCATGGGAGTCTATTATGATCCGATGTATCCTGTACATTGCTACTGTTAGTAAGTAACTCTCACTCACTGACTGTCCGGTTTGTCGTCTGTTGTTCCCCGTAACCTTCCCCACAGTATTGACAAAATGCCACTGTGTATGATTTAGATAAAAGACACTTTTTCTGTCTTACGTATTTTCATAAAAAGAATAATTTCAAAATAGTTAACTGAGTCAAGCTTTGTCACAGTGCTTGATCAAGCCTTGTCATGGTTGGTAAATCTTGTGAGGGAAGCATGGAGTGGAGGAAATGTCTTCTCCTCCTTATCAATTAAAAACCCATCAAAAACCCATTAACAAGTCATCTCTAACCTAAGCGAGACCAGCTACCCTTTCAAAGCCCTACCCTTCAAATGGGCACAGTCAGAGACTGGAGACTTTTTCACGATGTTTTCCAACTATTCGTTAGGCCTATGAAACAATTTATGAAAAAAAAAACTCTTTTGAGGGCTATGTAATGGTTGGAGGGTACCGGTGGGAAAGCTAAACTAGCTGGGTCCTAGCTATCTATACGGGTCCAAAGTGGTCTAAGACATTTATTCTTATTATAATCTACAGGACCTTGAGTGATCTTCCTGTTGCACACCCACGACCTTAACTTAATGAACCTATAATAGCAAAATGTGTATATACTGTATCTGAAAGTCACATAGTGGCCCTCTCCGTACTTAACAGTGAGTCGACGTCACGCCAACATTCTTTTCAATCTGTCCACATTGTGTTTTCGAGCAGAAATGCTGTATTCTAGACTACCTAGTTCTTGTGAGAATTATTTGTTAAAATAATCATCATACCGATATGACGTATAGATCTAATGTACTTCCGAGAAATATTCCCAAAGTACTGAAAATGCGACTGTTTTTACGACCATTACGTGACCATTGTCATCATTAATATTGACCACAGAAAATATGGATCAGTGATTATAAATATCATTATATTCATACTAAACTCCAAAATCTTCATAGTTTCCTGGAAATGACCTGGATATTGGGACTTGGGAGAGTATGCTCGTTATCTGCACGTTTGTCTCGAGTACAATGCACTGCCCGATCACAGGGCAAACAGTACTTACTAGTATACATAGAATACTGTCGGGATTCGCTACGAGTTCATCACAAAGTCGGACCGATGCACACCTCAAGAGGTCACTGCCTGTCAAGAGGTTTTGGAATGACACAAAGATGGGTTTTTAAAATCAGTTTGTACAAAAGCTGTAGGTTTACAATGTATGTATACATGTAACAAGTATGGCAGGGTAACCATTTCCCATCAAAGGGACAAAATCCCTCCAACTGGTCTGAATTAATACGCAATGCAACAACAATCCTGGTCTGAGTACCTTTGATGATAATATTATCGATATTGAAAGAGATTTACAATATTTCTCTCAAGATTTCTTGATAAATCTTCAGATTGTTCAGAAAAATCTAGAGGTCTATTGAAAAATATCAAGATTGTCTTGAAAGATCTCGAGATTTAGCAATAAATCTTGAGATCTTTGAAATAAATCTGGATATATTTTTCAGTGAACTTGTTAAAAGAGCAAGAAAAAGCAATTGTTGAGTTATATACCCAAGGTATATCGCCATGTTACTACTGTATGGACCGTCTGTGTGTGATACTGGATCTGACATGAGGACAGGTGCGCTGTTCCGTGCTTGCTACCATGTTATCGTGGGTCAAAATAATAATGATTTCAAACAACGTTTCTATTAGAGAAGATTAAAAGCACTACAAGTCTGGCAAAATCTGTAGTGGCGAATCATAATTTATGTGCAATTCATCTGCCGTGTACCTACGGTTGTCCCGGGTATGCTCACCTAACCTTAACCCAAGACATGTGACCACAGCTTTGTACATTAGAACTATTGCAACTGTTTTTCTCAAACCTACGACGTAGAGGTGTACGGCGTTATCGTCGTGGACAAATATGCGGTATAGGAAAACTGACCAGAAAGTCATTATAATATGACTGACGCAAATATGGTGATATTTTCAATCATTAAAAAGACGACGTGGGTCATGGAAAGAGTTATTGTCTTACGGGAAGGGCTGTTGTTCTCAGTAGATTGCCCAGGAAAAGCGCTGTCACCTGTTGTTCATCGATCGTCCTTCAGCCTTAAGGATATATCTGAACAGATTTCAACTGCAACATAGTTGCACGACCGTCATAAAAATGCAGATTCTACTGGCCAATAGGCTGAGTTTTTCAAGCCTAATAAAGCTGGACTACATTGTAAATGTCCAACGTTTTGCATTAGTTTTGCAGGAGAGTGCCGACAAGTTCTATTGCATCAAAAGTGTTGTTTGAATCTACATAGTGAGGCCCCCACTGTATTTGCTGGCAATGGCCTTCACCGTATGATAGTTCTCTGAATACAATTTTTAACTCTTACCGATTTAGAAATTATGATGATTCTTAGAACTGAACAAGCCAAACGCTAGCACAAAGTAGTAACACAAATTACAGTTGAATTTTGTGCTCACGACTGTCCTAGGATATCACACATTTTTGCTGTCATTTACAAATTTGTAGTGTTACACAACCTACGATAGAAATGTACACTTGTCTTCTTGAACATCAACTTCTCTTATCATGTTTGAAGACAATTCTGTCAAGAAGTTTCCCATACGTACATGTATTATTACACACACTCAGCTTTCTCCACAATTTTCACATTGCTGTGATGTAAAGGGTCCATTAATTGTGGAAAGATCATTACACCCAACTCTTGTATGCATGGCAAAAGAAATCAGTTGTATCCCACAAGAGTGTATATATAGCAAGGTTACCGTTAAGTTTTTTTTTATATAAAACCCTTTCAACCGGTCTGAATTGATACCCGATGTAACAACAGAAGCAGTCGGAGTACTTTTGATAATGATTCATATCAAGTTAAGGCAGCCATTTCAACATTTCTTTCAAGATTGCTTTATAAATCTTGAGATCATTTAAACAATCTTGATATTTTTCAAAGCATCTTGAGATACTATGAAAAAATCTCAAGATTCTTTGAAAAGATCTTGAAAAGATCTTGAGACCTTTTCATTTTCATCTCAAGATTTTATGAAAGATCTTGAGATTGTCATGAAAAATATCAAGATTTCGTATAAAATATTGAGATCTTTGGATCAAATCTTGAGATTTTTCAATTTTCAACAAAGCGTGAAGACCCCCGCTGGGGGTCATTATGATCCGCTATGTAACAGAGAAGTTTTTGACAAAAGATTGGATTTGTACCTCTAAGCTGTAAACGGTTAGAGGCATTAGTCCAAAGTGCTCTGCTCATTCCAATAATAATCTGCTCGGTGTTTCACGTATTAAGTATCAGTAGGCTGGCCTTGAAATGATCAGGTAGCATTTAATGATAGAAACACAAGAGTCTCTCATTAATGTACAAAACGCCGTAAGAGAATACATATATATTATCTTTTAAATATTGTATTTGTGTGAGTGTCAATGCGTGCTGTTTGTGTAAGGTAGTAAAGAGTATACTTACGTACAGGACGACCTGTATCTGTATCGGTATACCTGGTATAACTGCCCTTCTGTATCTGTATCGATATAGCCTGTATAACCGCCCTTCGGCGTAACACACCAGCTTCGCAGGCACGCGGCGTGGCGGCAGCTAGCTATATCACACCGAACGACTTGTTACACTCAATCTTTGCACATTTGATTGCAGGAGTTGTTTAAAGCTTTCTAGTGATGATGCCCCAACTGTGCTTGGTGGCAACGAGTTCCAGTCTACGATAGTTCTGCTGGGGAAATACGAGTTTTTGAATACCTCAATTCTTGGTTGATAACTCTGATATTTGAAGGCATGACTGTTTCTTGTTCTTTTCTGCTACAGTATTCAAAATAACGAAATAACCCACAGTGTTATCTAATACCACCTATTCAATCTGGCTACACATAGTGCGTTTATCGTGCGTTGGTCACTTATTCACCGCTGAAGGTTCGTTGATCAGTTTTGTATTGTCAACAGCAAAGCCAGCATACAAAGGTGCGCACTTTTTTTAACATTAATATTTTGCGTAGACGAAGTATCAAAAGGCATCATCTGATAATAAGTATTTGCACCACTCCAGCTATATAGATTAATGGGAAAATGAAAGATATTACAAAAGACTCGGTTGTACTATTCCTCCTTAATGTGAAGACTATTCATCATCATCTGGTCATGAGAGTTTCACGGATGCTCCTGACTCTTTTCCGCTAGCCCTCCCTATCCTCCATGGCCCTCGGCAGGTCTTCTGGTCTATTACCAAGCAGCAAATTTACATTGTTGCATTTGTTAGACTCATACATTATGACAGGCAATGACTACTAAATCTAAGTAATCCAAAAGAACTTATAACCTATATATTACTTGGTTCATGTGCTGCTGGAAGTCATGTTGCCTTTTTTCACCGTTAGAAGTTTGTTAAATACTTGTATACACGTGTGCCGCATGTACATGTACAAGCATCATTTACAAAAATGGAATCATATATAGCAGTTACCGTATATTCCATAAAGTATTTCATGTGGATTTGACAAGAAGCAGAATAATACATGACCAACAAACCTCATAGCAATTAACCATATAATGTTGCCAACTATGAACTGAAACACATCTTTAACCTCGTGAAAAATTTAACCTGAATTATCTAAGTACATCTTCAACAGCTCTCCGTATCGCTGTCCCAGCTCCAATGCATACGCCTGCTTGTCGTCTTCGCTCCACGTCTTGGAACGCTTCTGCTCCTCCTGTACTGCATCCAGACACAGCAGCCGAACGTCAAACCTGACCAGCCCGACCTCATGCTCATCTTCCTCCCGTAATACGGCTTCAAACATGCGGTAGTTGTGTTCCAGCGCTCCGGGGACTAGCGCACGGGCGGTGTAGGGTAGAGCGCGCTTTTCTCCAAGGTGATGGACGTGGAAGTGGATTTCAACAAGACTTTCATCATCTACATCCACATCCTGGAAGTAGAAGACTCGTCGGCAGTGTCGCACGAAGGTGGAACCTGTTTTCTCATCAGACTCTTCGCACCAAGCATTATTTGACGTTTCTTTGGCTTTAGCTTCTACAACAACGGCAAGGCGCTCTCCTGGGCTGTGGATAGGAACATCGTGAAATATGATGTCAAGGATTGAGACCGACATGACATGCTCGCTATCATCTTTCTCTTCCTTGCCTATCTTTCTCCATCCGAGGTCTACCATAGCGTCGATCTCTTCTCCGTGATGAGTGGCGATTTGTTCGCAAGCCTCGCCTAGCTCACGTCTGTAAGATGTTTGGTTTGGGGTGGTCTTCTCTTGGACGAAGACTTTCAAGACATCGGCGACGCTGAAAGGTGCAGTTGCGTCTTGAGTTTGCTGGACCATTTCTTGTGCTTGTCGAAGAGGTGGCACATGTACAAGGGCTAAGGCGGGGGACAGCAATTGGAAGACATGTGGAACTTTCGATGGAGGTTCTCCATTGTTTCGTTGTATTGGTCGTCCATGAAGGCTGTCATGGGCCACATGGAGTGCCTTCAGTACTGTAGTAGCTAGATGAGGCGCTATCTCGATTCTTGGAACCTCTGAGGCTACGAGGAACAGCGAAGTACCGTCTCCCACAAAGTAATGTGGAAAACCCTTGTCGGTAGGCTCCAAGATCAAGTCATAGATGTAGTCATCAGCATTCTCGGCAGTAGCAGGATGTTGATCTAACAAGCTGACCGAGGCCGGGTGAGGCTCTTGGTTTTTCAGGGACAAGAGGGCTGTTCCTTCCTCAATCTTGGTAATTCCGAGCCGTGAAAGCGTTGGAACCAAGTTTACTAGTGTCCTAGGAGACACCGCAGCGAGCCCGTGGCCTCCCTCTTCGCCCTTGTGCCCAGCTGCCGTAACAAAAGGATGGGTTTCTGTGAAACTGAAGGAGCAACCGTTGATGGAGTATAAGAGACGCCCCTTCCGTCTTGGAGTTGACAGTACTGCGACTCGTCGCGGACCCTGCAGCGTGAAGACGTCTTGGCCTACCTCGACTGAGCGGATGGGAAGAAGGGTAGTCCCGTCCGCCATGAGCACCTTCGTGTCCCGTGAAAAACAGCTGGTGAATATATTACCTCCGCCGCCACCACCACCGCCTCCACTGCCGCCGCTAGTACGGTACCCTCTCCCTGGTTGGCCGTCTGCTGTAAACTCGAAAGAGTTTTCTTCCTTCATCATTGTGGGAGGGACGGGGTATGGGCCAGGAGTGATGACTGTGATGGGCACTGTCTTCAAAATTCCTGCTGCCGCATCACCCTCGATGTCTTGTGATGTGATAGCCGCCGGGTTCATCCAGGCCGTGTAGCTTGTCCAGTTCCCCACTCCTACCTCAGGCGGAATCAGGAGCTCCTTCCTGCTGAGCTGTTGGATGATGTTGTCTATCTCTGCATTGCTGGCGCCTAGCAGGTGTAGCTTCACCCAGTGATGGTACAGGTCCCAAGCCGCGTCTGTCCACATACCTTCAGCTGCAATAGCCCTTTTTGCCGTGATCCAAGCATCAGATGTCAGTGCCGATTCGTAATGCTGCCTTGCCGATGCCTTATCTGCGATCGTGCTGTATGTTCCTTTCACGTAGGTTTCACTGAAGACCTTGGCATAAAACTCCATTGAACGTGCTTTAAGCTCGGCGTTCTTCCTGTTTACAGCGTTGTTGATGTCGTCCCGTTTCAGCTGCTTTCGCAGGTCTGTGGTGAGGTTGTACATGGCCTGGCAGAGAGAGGCGACTGAAAAGTCCGACCACCAGTTGTTGTCTAGGCCGGTGAGGGAGACATCCCCCTCGTAAGGTGCTGAGTTATGGTTGGGAAAGAAAATATCTACGAACCTGTCTCCGCTGCCGAACATCTCGGTGTGACTGCCTGGCGTGGAGCTTTTGAGTTTGCTGACGAGAGTGGCGCGGGCTGCTTTACCGGAGTCATTCCCACCCGTGGTCGGTAGTTCACCGAACAGCTGAAGAAAAGGGTGAAAAGACACAACGTTTCAACAGGAATGTTTAAACAGAGTCTATTATTACCTATACAATACTCTATGTGTTTAGTCATTTGCTCAATCATCATGACCACGTAGATTTCATAATGAAGGCAACTTATTATTATTTTTTAGCTAAACTATTTTTTATTCGTACGCTTGCATCAGTTTTTGGGTTCTTATGGTATGCCATCCATATAATCCAGAACGACCTTATTAATCTTTTTACAGAATGAAATGACAGCCTTTTAGAAGGCTTATATTGTGAATCATTGTTTAGGTCAACTAGTCAAGTTTGCCAGTGATTTCCAATGTTAGTTCGGTGCCCAGAAGTGGTCCCTGCCTGTACTAAACTAACTCGTCTGAAACTTTGTTTACAAAACAAGTTGATTCGACCTGATCAACTTTTCCCTAGGGAGTGGAAATGCGATGTTGTCATGTGGCAGAAAGAAATTGAAAACAGGCTTTTGTTTACAGGTTTGATTTATTTTGGTCTAGATGAGTGCAGCGCTGATAAATGCACTGCTCGTTTGGCCGTGCATAAAAACTTGCAATGCAATAGAATCATCTTATATTAAGACTTTGTTTCAAGGCACAATTCAAAACACTGTGCAAAATGTCTAGTTTTGCGAAAAATCCTACAATAGACATTTGAAATTTGCCACACTAAAGTAGCCTTTTGGCTACCTGTTCCTCATTGTTTACATTTTTTACCGGCAGAGAGAAGGTTCAAGACAATTACGGTGCCTCGGGTATGATTGATTATAGGGTAGAATCTCATTAAATTTTCACAGTAGGTTGACTTGTCTGGTCAAATACCATAGCAGTTGAGAGATCACAAATAGAATTGCTAACATTGCTAAAGCTTCGGTCACAACCCGCCGTCCGCGCAACTGCTTGCTGTCTATGTGCAAAAACGTGGGCAAAATATGGGGATCCGTAATTGGTGAGTACGCCATCGTACGGAATCCAAAGGATTTGGGAGCACGCAGACACACCGTGTTAAAACTTTGCGTGGGGGCTGCGGATTCACCCCCCTGTACGGGCCAATACGGGCGACGCGAGTGTCATGTACGTACCGTACGTAAGCAGCACGTGTAAGTGCGGCCTGCATACGGTAAAGTGGCAATCACACATAGATCGTTACTTGTAAGCACGTACAACTTATTAAATTTTCACAGTAGGTTGACTTGTCTGTATAGTCAAAGTCACAAGGTCAGGTATGATCACAGTTGAGGGATCACATGCCAAATAGAATTGCTTACACTCTTTGACCCCGGGGAAGTTATTTGGTAGGTATTAGCATATCTATACAAAAGGTTGTCTGTTGCTTCGTAGATTGTCATCGTGGTTATGTCTTTTTCTGAAAGCTGTGTGGAATTTTCGAATTAGCTGACCACTCAGAGCTTCAGACTTATTCAGATTTTTGTCTGAACTAACTTAAGGTTATTTACTTACATAACTTGAATGCATTTTTCTGGGTGACAGACAAGGTCTCTCACTGCACTACAGATGATCGCTCAACACATTAAATCCAAGAAAAACAACAACTGCATGCGAAAGAATCTTCTTTCCTTCTTTGCACCTGTATATGAAAATGATTAAAACCTATTGGTGAACGATTGTTTGAAACCAACTTAAATTGGTGTATTTTTTGGGGGGGTAACAACTGACTTTTCGTGCAATGTGTGGGTCTTTGTTTGAATGCTACGAAGAGGGAAGTTTTCGTTTTACCTGTAAAAGTTTGAAAGTTGCGAAAGTTAGGCATGAATTTGGTGACTACGTCAAAGAACTCACTTCTGTCTGGAAGTAACTTGAATTTTGCATAAGAGCATAAGTCTATGTATTTGTCCGTAAGTATTTAAACAAAAATGATAATCTAAGATATAAACTTGTATTTCTACATGTGTGTCACCTCAGCGCAACTTGTACTAAGTTGCAGTCTTACCTGTTGTAGTTAGTTAAATTTAGCCTGTAGGTGTATACAGATCAATGTTTAGTTGTGTTTGTATGTGTAATACGACTCCAGGAAGACTAGTTTTTTATAGATACTCTGTACAAACTCATGGAGTTCGATTTGATAAAATAAACTAATGAACACTTACATGTACCACAGTGTCGTTAGGTATAGCGGCGATTGCCTCCGAAACTCTCGCATACAAGGCGTCCATTTCAGTATGACGTTGCAGAACCAATGTCAGTCAACGACGAGGCTACCAGGAGCAATGTTATCTGTAGCGGTTAACATAATGGACATGCTCTACTTTACCTACTATATTTTGTAGTGTGACCAATCAAATCTGATTTTCTTAATTAGATTAAAGACAACGTTAACCAACTAATCAATCAAACAACCAACCAATCAATGTGACTCTATAGCACAATGGTTACAACAGGTATAATGCTTAGCAAGTGATCATTTTTCTTAATTCTTAGGAAGTTGAAAAACCTAGCTACGTTATTCTGCATAGAGAACACAAACTGCATCATATACAGTATGAAATTATAACAGCATGTTTAAGACATTCTTAATCAAGACTGGTCTTTTTATCATGACTATCCATCTGAGGGATTTTGAGATATCTTCTTCTTTAAGAATTATGAGAGACGAAGCTAGATATATGCCTGACACTGCAAGTAGAGGTCACGTATTTCTGTCGTCTGATCACGATTTCCCTCACGTAGACACACGTATGACAAGGAGGTACACAGACAAACAAACACACACACAGTGCACACACATACACACTAAACGTACTTAACTTGTATATGGACCATATTTGTACCAAACAGATTAAAGTTAGATTACTACTTACTGTTGTTTCAAGTACAGTGCTTACTGTATAGGCCGCCGTGCACTTTAACCCTGCAAAGTTGTTAAACCAGTTTAGTTGGGGGAGGGGGCGTTCCAGTAACTACTGTAATTCCTGATCTTTTCCACTGTACTGTTATGTTCACTGTTTTCAATTGTCACTTCTGTACTGTGCACTTATCATTACAGTTAACAAATAATTCCTGGACTTTCTCCTTCTTGCACCTGTTGCCATCGTGAATATATCTTTCCGTGAACATGTCCATTTTTTTCAGACCGTAAACTTTTGCTACGGTGAACATTAAGTGAATTACAGTACTAGTACCCTTGCTGTCATACTCAAACAACACACCTTGACCTACAGACCTTGACATAACATATATTAAAACTGAAGATACGGATTCTTTTAATCGAAGAAATGTAGCAGGTGCACTTTTTCTATAAAGATTGCGTTCTAAGGCATCAGGGACTTTTTTAACACCGTGTTTTTAAAACCTTGTCATCTATCGAGAAGAAATGTTTCACACAGCGCATCTCAAAAGGTTAGTTAGATATGACCAGACCATACATTAATTACTTCAAGGCGAGGTATTTACTAGCTCTATGGGATTTGTTTTAGATTTAAGGGTGTACAAAGGTTGAATTTTTGGAGAGAACCATCATTTGATTATGCCAGAGGGTTAAAGGGTAGAGACGGGGAAACCTGGTACAGCCAGTACACATGACCTTTTGCATAGTGTAAGTTAATTTACTGCGATGAGCTTGGACGCCATTGTGTACCATGTATCATGTTGGACTTTCTTACTTCTCGAAACTTCCCAAGTTCGTTCGAATGTTTCGCATAATTGTGTAAAATTAATATTTTACCTTTTTATAATTTATAACAAGGAATACCTTAAATTCGTACGTGCCCTAACTTCGAATCTTCTTCGGATTTTTACTGTTCTTATTATGCATAATTACGCCGTGTTTCTTGCCACTGACTTTACTAATTAAAACGGTTAGTAAACATAGTCAATGCATACATCTGTTATTTGCATGCTTCTATATAGTTCTATATATAGTTAGTTATTGAACAGTATGGATGCATTTCTTATCCAAATATGTTCTCTACACAAATGTTTTCAAAATTCATTCATCAAAACCTGACCACTGTGATAATTAGCGATAGAGCGCCGTGAGTTCGAGCGCGGGGAAAAAGTGTTCGATGTTAGGGCACCCCTCGTTATTTGTTTACTCATGCATCTAGTGACTGGCAATTTGCAGGGATTTGTCTGTCCGGACATCAAAACTCAGCACTAGCATCCTTTAAGTCATATTGGTCATATCCTACTGATGCAAAGGTGACAGAAAAAGATTTCTAGATTTTCCAAATTATTATTGAAATCAAAATAAAACCACCCCTACCCAGCCCTGCCCAACCCTTGCCCAACCCGCCATGCCCAGCATAGATAACATGCCAATCGGCCGATGGTGCCACCTGTGCAGGAAAGAGGGGGAGAGGGGCATATACGGGTTTTAATTATCTTAACAAGGATAACTCAAAGGCCTCTATTGTACCACGCCATTTTAGTCGGTACTGCCGTAGACGGTACAAGTTTCCTTTCTTTTTCTTAAACGGAACGTCTTTTCTTATATTTGCAAAGTCATAATTGTTTAGAAATTCCTCCACCCCTTTGGTGTCAATTAAATAAATCGCCCGACCAATGAGGAATCACCTTGAGAACAATATAGGGTGGCCACTTGAACTTGAGCCCACACCGACAGTTTTCGTCTAGCGAACAAATATCCGCACACCAAGTCGGAGAATTCGCATAGATTTATATACGTCTAAACGTTAACCTCAACTCTTGCAAGGTAAGCATTACTCCTGATATTCATAAGTAAATAGAAATAGGTAGGAGGTAAGGAAAGCATGTCAAAATGTAGGTGACCTCTACTATACAGTTGAACTGAATTGTGGTGATAGATAGCACAACTTACGCCGGTATTCTGCTAAACTCTTTCAGTCCAATTAATGTTTTGAATACTACTGGTGACCACAAGACATGATCGCAACCAGTTATGGTGGAGTTGCCGATGTCGTAGGTTGTCGTAAGGTTTCGATTTAGGATTTCCAAGCAGATTGAAAAAAATAACCACGGAGACAGTCGAACACAATTTGCATTGTCACCGGGGATGTATGATCGGATTCGTCGCAAAATTGTGTAACATATATAGTTATATTTGTTGTCGACTCATGCATGTAGTGACCGTCAATTCTAGATGTCATTTGTCATCAAGAATACCGCGTAAGTTACTTGTAGGAAATATCCAGAGGATGGTCCAAAAGCTATGTATGATAATGGACTGAAGGAATTAGTTTGCCAAGATATTAATACTCAACACTAATATATTTATGTCATGGGTAATATCCAATAGACTCCCCAATACCGATGCAAGGGCGAGAAATATAAGGATTTTCTTAGATTTTCCAATCTCTTAGTAAGTGAAATCTGCCCAACCCTGCCCAACCCTTGCCAAACCCCGCCCAACCCAGCATAGATAACATGCCAATCGGCCGATGATGCCACCTGTGCAGGAAAGAGGGGGAGAGGGGCATATACGGGTTAACAAGGATAACTCAAAAGCTTGATTGTACCACAACGTTTCTGTCAGTATTGCCGTGGACAATACAAGCTTCTTTTTTTCTTAAACAAAACTTCTTCTTTTATATATTTTCAAAGCCATAAGTGTTAGAAATTCCGTCACCCCTTTGGTTTCAATTAAAGATATCGCCCGACCAATGAGGAATCACCTTGAGAACAATATAGGGTGGCCACTTGAACTTGAGCCCACACCGACAGTTTTCGTCTAGCGAACAAAAGTCCGCACACCAAGTCGGAGAATTCGCATAGATTTATATACGTCTAAACGTTAACCTCGACTCTTGCAAGGTAAGCATTACTCCTGATATTCATAAGTAAATAGAAATAGGTAGGAGGTAAGGAAAGCATGTCAAAATGTAGGTGACCTCTACAATACAGTTGAACTGAATTGTGGTGATAGATAGCACAACTTACACCGGTATTCTGCTAAACTTTTTCAGTCCAATTAATGTTTTGAATACTACTGGTGACCACAAGACATGATCGCAACCAGTTATGGTGGAGTTGCCGATGTCGTAGGTTGTCGTAAGGTTTTGATTTAGGATTTCCAAGCAGATTGAAACCACCACGGAGACAGTCAAACACAATTTGCATTGTCACAGGGGATGCATGATCGGATACGTCGCAAAATTGTGTAACATATATAGTTATATTTGTTGTCGACTCATGCATGTAGTGACCGTCAATTCTAGATGTCATTTGTCATCAAGAATACCACGTAAGTTACTTGTAGGAAATAACCAGGTGATGGTCCAAAAGCTATGTATGATAATGGACAGCAGGAATTAGTTTGTCCAGATATTGATACTCAACACTAATATATTTATGTCATGGGTAATATCCAATAGACTCCCCAATACCTATGCAAGGGCGAGAAATATAAGGATTTTCTTAGATTTTCCAATCTCTTAGTAAGTGAAATCTGCCCAACCCTGCCCAACCCTTGCCAAACCCCGCCCAACCCAGCATAGATAACATGCCAATCGGCCGATGATGCCACCTGTGCAGGAAAGAGGGGGAGAGGGGCATATACGGGTTAACAAGGATAACTCAAAAGCTTGATTGTACCACAACGTTTCTGTCAGTATTGCCGTGGACAATACAAGCTTCTTTTTTTCTTAAACAAAACTTCTTCTTTTATATATTTTCAAAGCCATAAGTGTTAGAAATTCCGTCACCCCTTTGGTTTCAATTAAAGATATCGCCCGACCAATGAGGAATCACCTTGAGAACAATATAGGGTGGCCACTTGAACTTGAGCCCACACCGACAGTTTTCGTCTAGCGAACAAAAGTCCGCACACCAAGTCGGAGAATTCGCATAGATTTACATACGTCTAAAAGTTAATCTCGACTCTTGCAAGGTAAGCATTAATTCAGATATTCATAGGTAAATAGATGTAGGTAGGAGGTAAGGAAAGCATGGCAAAATGTAGGTGACCTCTACTATACAGTTGAACTGAATTGTGGTGATAGATACCACAACTTACACCGGTATTCTGCTAAACTCTTTCAGTCCAATTAATGTTTTGAATACTACTGGTGACCACAAGACATGATCGCAACCAGTTATGGTGGAGTTGCCGATGTCGTAGGTTGTCGTGAGGTTTTGATTTTAGGATTTCCAAGCAGATTGNGTCACCGGGGATGCATGATCGGATACGTCGCAAACTTGTGTAGAATATATAGTTATACTTGTTGTTGACTCATGTATGGAGTCTATTGTAGGTGTCTTTTCATCATAGAGAATACCGCGTAAGTTTCTTGTAGGAAATATCCAGAGGATGGTCCAAAAGCTATGTATGATAATGGACTGCAGGAATTAGTTTGTCCAGATATTAATACTCAACACTAATATATTTATGTCATGGGTAATATCCAATAGACTCCCCAATACCGATGCAAGGGCGAGAAATATAAGAATTTTCTTAGATTTTCCAATCTCTTAGTAAGTGAAATCTGCCCAACCCTGCCCAACCCTTGCCCAACCCAGCATAGATAACATGCCAATCGGCCGATGATGCCACCTGTGCAGGAAAGAGGGGGAGAGGGGCATATACGGGTTTTAATTATCTTAACAAGGATAACACAAAGGAATGATTGTACCACACCATTTTAGTCGGTATTGCAATGGACTGTACAAGTTTCTTTCCTTTTTCTTAAATGAAACGTCTTTTTTTTTATATTTGCAAAGCCATAAGTGTTAAAAAATACCACCACCCCTTTGGTGTCAATTAAATATATCGCCCGACCAATGAGGAATCACCTTGAAAACAATATAGGGTGTTCACTTGAACTTGAGCCCACACCGACAGTTTTCGTCTAGCGAACAAAAGTCCGCACACCAAGTCGGAGTATTCGCATACAAGTCGGAGTATTCGCATACAAGTCGGAGTATTCGCATAGATTTACATACACTTGAAGACAGAAGAAAGATGTCTAGACTATGCATGATGTACAAAATGACTAATAAACTGGTGGATGTCCCAACTACTAAGTACCTAATACCAGCCCAGAAGAGAACAAGAAATAGCCACGCATTCAAGTACCAGAGTTATCAACCAAGGATTGAGGTGTTCAAGAATTCATTCTTTCCTAGAACTATCGCAGAGTGGAACTCACTGTCACCAAGTACAGTAGGGGCACTGTCAATAGATAGCTTTAAACAATGTCTAGAGCTAGAAGTTCAAGGGTTAGGTGTAACAAGTCGATCGGTGTAATATAGCCAGCTGCCGCCGCGCCGCGTGCCTGCGAAGCTGGTGTGTTACGCCGAAAGGCGGTTATACCGGCTATACAGATACAGATACAGATACAGATACGTCTAAAAGTTAATCTCGACTCTTGCAAGGTAAGCATTACTCCTGATATTCATAAGTAAATAGAAATAGGTAGGAGGTGACGAAAGCATGTCAAAATGTAGGTGACCTCTACTATACAGTTGAACTGAATTGTGGTGATAGATACCACAACTTACACCGGTATTCTGCTAAACTCTTTCAGTCCAATTAATGTTTTGAATACTACTGGTGACCACAAGACATGATCGCAACCAGTTATGGTGGAGTTGCCGATGTCGTAGGTTGTCGTAAGATTCTGATTGAGGATTTCCAAGCAGATTGAAACAACCACGGAGACAGTCGAACACAATTTGCATTGTCACCGGGGATGCATGATCGGATTCGTCGCAAAATTGTGTAACATATATAGTTATATTTGTTGTCGACTCATGCATGTAGTGACCGTCAATTGTAGATGTCATTTGTCATCAAGAATACCACGTAAGTTACTTGTAGGAAATATCCAGAGGATGGTCCAAAAGCTATGTATGATAATGGACTGAAGGAATTAGTTTGCCAATATATTAATACTCAACCCTAATATATTTATGTCATGGGTAATATCCAATGGACTCCCCAATACCGATGCAAGGGCAAGAAATATAAGGATTTTCTTAGATTTTCCAATCTATTGGTAAGTGAAATCTGCCCAACCCTGCCCAACCCTTGCCCAACCCAGCATAGATAACATGCCAATCGGCCGATGATGCCACCTGTGCAGGAAAGAGGGGGAGAGGGGCATATACGGGTTTTAATTATCTTAACAAGGATAACTCAAAGGCCTCTATTGTACCACGCCCATTTTAGTCGGTACTGCCGTAGACGGTACAAGTTTCCTTTCTTTTTCTTAAACGGAACGTCTTTTCTTATATTTGCAAAGTCATAATTGTTTAGAAATTCCTCCACCCCTTTGGTGTCAATTAAATAAATCGCCCGACCAATGAGGAATCACCTTGAGAACAATATAGGGTGGCCACTTGAACTTGAGCCCACACCGACAGTTTTCGTCTAGCGAACAAATATCCGCACACCAAGTCGGAGTATTCGCATAGATTTATATACGTCTAAACGTTAACCTCAACTCTTGCAAGGTAAGCATTACTCCTGATATTCATAAGTAAATAGATGTAGGTAGGAGGTAAGGAAAGCATGTCAAAATGTAGGTGACCTCTACTATACAGTTGAACTGAATTGTGGTGATAGATACCACAACTTACACCGGTATTCTGCTAAACTCTTTCAGTCCAATTAATGTTTTGAATACTACTGGTGACCACAAGACATGATCGCAACCAGTTATGGTGGAGTTGCCGATGTCGTAGGTTGTCGTGAGGTTTTGATTTAGGATTTCCAAGCAGATTGAAAAAAACATGGAGACAGTCGAACACAATTTGCATTGTCACCGAGAATGCATAGTCGGATGCGTCGCAAAATTGTGTAACATATATATAATTATATTTGTTGTCGACTCATGCATGTAGTGACTGTCTATTGTGGATGTCTTTTTATCATCCTGAATACCACGTAAGTTACTTGTAGGAAATAACCAGGTGATGGTCCAAAAGCTATGTATGATAATGGACAGCAGGAATTAGTTTGTCCAGATATTGATACTCAACACTAATATATTTATGTCATGGGTAATATCCAATGGACTCCCCAATACCGATGCAAGGGCGAGAAATATAAGGATTTTCTTAGATTTTCCAATCTATTGGTAAGTGAAATCTGCCCAACCCTGCCCAACCCTTGCCCAACCCAGCATAGATAACATGCCAATCGGCCGATGATGCCACCTGTGCAGGAAAGAGGGGGAGAGGGGGCATATACGGGTTTTAATTATCTTAACAAGGATTACTCAAAGGCTTGATTGTACCATACAATTTTAATCGGTATTGGCGTGGGTGGTACAGTTTCTTTCCTTTTTCTTAAACAAAACTTCTTTTTGTGTTTGCAAAGCAATAAGTGTTAAAAATTCCGTCAACCCTTTGGTGCCAATTAAAGATATCGCCCGACCATTGAAGAGTCACATTAAAAACAATATAGGGTGGCCACTTGAACTCGGGGTCGGAAGTCGGGGGATTTGCATAGGTAGAGGGTAAGGAAGGCATGTTGAAATGTAAGTGACCTCTACTATATAGTTGAACTTAATCGTGGTGATAGATAGCACAACTTACACCGGTATTCTGCTAAACTCTTTCAGTCCAATGTTTGGAATACTGGTGACCACAAGATATGATCGCAACCAGTTATGGTGGAGTTGCCGATGTCGTAGGTTGTCGTAAGATTTTAATTTAGGATTTCCACGCAGATTGAAACAACCACGGAGAAAAGTCGAACACAATTTGCATTGTCACCGAGGATGCATGATCGGATGCGTCGCAAAATTGTGTAGAATATATAGTTATACTTGTTGTTGACTCATGTATGGAGTGACTGAATATTTTAGATGTCTTTTCATCATCCTGGATACCACGTAAGTTACTTGTAGGAAATAACCAGGTGATGGTCCAAAAGCTATGTATGATAATGGACTGAAGGAATTAGTTTGTCCAGATATTTTAATATCTGGTCAAACTAATACTCAACACTAATATATTTATGTCATGGGTAATATCCAATAGACTCCGCAATACCGATGCAAGGCGAGAAATAAAAGCATTTTCTTAGATTTTCCAATATAAAAGCATTTTCTTAGATTTTTCAATCTCTTAGTAAGTGAAATCTGCCCAACCCTGCCCAACCCTTGCCAAACCCCGCCCAACCCAGCTTAGATAGCATGCCAATCGGCCGATGATGCCACCTGTGCAGGAAAGAGGGGGAGAGGGGCATATACGGGTTTTAATTATCTTAACAAGGATTACTCAAAGGCTTGATTGTACCATACAATTTTAATCGGTATTGGCGTGGGTGGTACAGTTTCTTTCCTTTTTCTCAAACAAAACTTCTTTTTGTGTTTGCAAAGCAATAAGTGTTAAAAATTCCGTCAACCCTTTGGTGCCAATTAAAGATATCGCCCGACCATTGAAGAGTCACATTATAGGGTGGCCACTTGAACTCGGGGTTGGAAGTCGGGGGATTTGCATAGGTAGAGGGTAAGGAAGGCATGTTGAAATGTAAGTGACCTCTACTATATAGTTAAACTGAATCGTGGTGATAGATAGCACAACTTGCACCCGTTCGGTATTCTGCTAAACTCTTTCAGTCCAATGTTTGGAATACTAGTGACCACAAGATCTGATCGCAACCAGTTATGGTGGAGTTGCCGATGTCGTAGCTTATTGTAAGATTTTGATATAGGATTGAAACAACCAAGGAGAAAAGTTGAACACACTTTGTCACCGAGGATGCATAATCGGACGATCTTACGATAACTACAGCGATCCCTTAAAACATTATTGGTCTTGGTTGGATATTTGATATTTAGTACGTTTAACCCCAGGCTCATATCTCCGTCAAGGGACTTAATAGCAACAATTAAAGATTTCAGAAGGTCGTTAGACTAGCTCATCATTCCGTTCAATGAGCAGATATTACATTAGATCATTGCATTAGTATGCTGAGCACTGTTCAATCCTTGAGCTTGCGAGGGAGCGTTACTCGAAGAACAAATTATTCTGAACAAATTGTCAAGAGCTTGATATTTCAGGCAGGGAGATATGTAAACTCTTAAGGCCTTCGGTCTCAACAGGCACAGGGAACAGTATATATATATTAGTGCGGTCCGGAATGGCTGTATAGATAAGGAAATCTATTCCTGTCATGGAGGGAGGATACAGACTCGGTTACGTTTGGGACCGAATTTTTAATTACGAAGTAGAAGTTGTGTTTTGATTAAATATCAACTATGTACATATTACACACCTCTACGTTTGGTGCCACATTGTAGATGTATACTGTTCTATATAACTGTTGTTTGTTTTTACAAGATAGCAATTATGTATATTTCACACTCCTGTACGTTTGGGATCACATTGTATATACGGTTCCGGTAACCGTGTAGATCTGTAAACATTTACGTGTGGGAACGCATCTATAGCATCGACATGTGCTGTGCAATGTGAACCAGTCAGAGCTGCCCTGAGGAAACTGACAGACGGTCACTGAAACATCAGTTGAATAAAACACTTCGTTGTGTGTTAAGATTTATTCAATATTATACATTCTTGAATAATCTACCCCTTTTTTATTAACCTACATGTATACTCTTTTATCCACAGCATGAAGGTTGCTTTGCTGATAGCTGTCATGTTGGCATCTACATCTGTTGTCTTCCCGTACTGGATGTTTCCGAGGAGGAGGTCGTCAAAGAAAGGTGGAGTAGTCTCATGTATTCAACATTTCCTGAATAAGAACCCAATGTGTATCGTCTCCTTGTAAGGGTGGTATCACTTCTGTGGAGGAACTTCCTTTTTAATTAATTGCCTCCATTTTTTTCTATTGCTAGTCTTGGCAAAGTGGGTAGGGTATCTGGCACAGAGCAGTTCTTTGTTCCAACAATAAAACAGTTTTAGTCCATCGAATCGTACTGAAAATTTACATCTTTACATCCATCTACAGGGGTGACATTCCAGGAGAAAGAAGAGGCTCTCCAAGACGCTGCGGCTAAGCTGGAGGAAGTGATGCATGGCGCGGAGAGTGAATCGGTCCTGGAGCTGATGAGGGAGTTTCAGGAGGTGGAGGAAAACGATGGTGCTCTCAGTGGTGCGTATACGTAAAACTCATCTAAAACTAAAAAAAAAAATGCAAATCTATTGTCTAAATTTTGTTTATATTTAGACCACTTATAGTGCATTGCTCTTACGTCAACTGTGTGGGCTTATTTAATCTGTCTGTAACAGGCGACACCTTCGAGAAGAAAGTGGCTACTCTCCAGGAGGCTGCAGCTGATATGGAGGAGAAGGTGAATGAAGTGGAGGAAGATGCCGCATTGGGTCTACTGGAGGAGGAGCTGGAGGAGCTGGAAGAGGAACTAGAGGAAGCCAAGGACGACCCTGAAGAGTGATGATGGTGAGGATAATTCTTTAAACTATATGTTCTGTTTTTATACTACACAGATAGACATCCTACAATACAATCAAAAACATAATGGTACTGTAACGTACAAGAAACAACGAACAGGAATTTTCTACTATTGGACGTTCTCTTCACTAGATAGAAATTGCTGAGCAACCGTACAGCGACCAAAGTTGGAATCTTTTGACCCTTATTTTTTTCTTTGAAAATTATGCAAGGTAAATAAGTATATGTAATATAAAAACCACAAAACACACAAAACGTAAGAAAAGTCTTTCTTTAAGTTTCAAGAAATTCCATAAACAATCCGTCAAATCTTCAATCACCCAAAGGTTTCAGCACCTAGTTGAAAGACGATGTTATATAAAGAGTCCATACTTAGTAAACTGGCCTATAGAAAAAGACAGAGAATTTAAATATATAACAAGAAGACCAGATTAGGAAAAAAATTAATTAACGTGTTGCCTTTATAATTTCAAATGACTTCAAAGTTTCCTTTTATTCTGCAGAGTCCAGATGTTACTGGCTGAGTCAAAGACAACCCGTGCAGGACCTAAGAGCTTTAGTTCACAGCTAGCTTCTTGTCTAGTTCCGTTGACAATAAGGTGAAATCGTAGTTTTAGGAATTCATATTCAGAAAACAATGAATGGCAGAGAAGGCTTATACTATAGTTTGCTATCATTAAATTTACCTTATTGAAAATGTAGCTACTTTTATTAAGACAAGACTTCGGCATAAAGAAGCAAATGTAGTTTTAAAGGTAATGGTAGGATATTTTTCCCATGTGATGACATTCACTGGTCAGTCCCCCAAAAGCTTGATGGTCAACAACTCGTAAACATTGGGGCTTCCTAATCATGTTGATTTATTCATGTGTTGTTATTACCATGTTATGTGATAACTATTAATGACGCATATTGTAGCTAATGCTATTATGACTCGTGTCCTTCTTATTTAGAAATTTCCCTTTTCTCCTTTTTCTATTGTTTTAATACAGAGGTATACCTGATATTACTATCATACGTGAAACTTAGCTTGCATTTGATAACTGCATATTACATACCATTAGAATCTAGTGTAATCCCTTTTGGTGGCAGGAATAAAAGGTTATCTATCAACTACAATGGTTTGTCTTTGTAATGTATTCTTTTGTCACACTTTTGTCTAGGTTTGTAGATGTTATTATATATCTTTTAGCATTGTTTAAATTCAGAAATTAAACGGTTTTGCAACTGATGAAATCTCAGTTGCTCTGATTTTAGTAAGACATGCTAAACGTTAGCATTTTAAACTTTCAAGATATAAAAAATATAGTTTTTTAAATAATACATAACGCTTAAAACGCTCACAAAATCTTTTTATTTTAAAGGCTTATGTTGCATTTTTCTTTGTTCGAGCAGCTTCTTTTAAGAAACAGATGGCTTTCCCTAATGAATACCCAATCTTTACTTACAACAATACAGACGCCTGTGTAGGTACATAAAAAGGCCATGATGAAACCTGTCTATCAGATCAGATCAAAACACACGAAAAGCTTACTATGTGTAGCCGGATTGTACAGGCAGTTTTAAATAACAGCACTGACCATGGGTTATTACCCTTTCTGCCTTACACAAACAGTACACTTCAACAGGCACAAAATCATTTACTAAGATACGTACTCTGTTAGGCCTTCAAGTGTTTTGTACATTAGGCCACAGGATGTAAATTTTATGGATGACATTAGCTCCCGCATGAATTTTTCCCTGATTTTGAAAAACAAAACAAGAAATTTTGTTGCCTCCTGACAGTGGTCAACATGCCGAAAATTGGCAAAGATGTCTGTTGCCATGCCGGAACGAGGATGGCAGTTAAGTATAAAATGATGAAGAGAGTAGACAAGAAAGGCTCTGATTTAATGTATTTATTGTTTTGTTTGTCACTTTGATACAGTGATATGTGATGCCGTCTGTGTATATGTGATGTTCCCACTGAATCAAAACCATTTGTAAAATGATTGAGTCAAAATTGGAAAGTGAAGGGACCTTGTTTTTTTCGGCCGGCCTTGTTTTTTTTTTTTCGTCCGCTCGCATTAGATTTGTAGCCTGCGGAGGATTCAAAGACCATTTAAAGACAAGGTGTTGTGAGCACTTTGAGGATCTTTGACTTTTCTTAAATGTGTACAAAACCAAATGCTGAAGAATTTTTGAAAAACAGTATAGTGCAGGGTTAAAGGGCCGAGACTGTGAAACCTGGTACAACTGGTACTGACGACCTTTGAATGACTTGAACGCCATGTTGGAAGATACTATTTCTTTCAAGGCAGACAATGTCACACGTGCTTCATTTATTGACTGTCATGCTTTCTCATCATTAAAAAATCTACGTAACATACTTTAGTGCTTCGCAAAATGGTCTAGAAATTGGTGTTATATTTGTTAAGACATACCATTTATTCACTGACTTTTTTCCTTCTCATCAACAAAAAACACGTAAATACTTTCGAAAATAACCCTACTTCTCCATGTGGTGGTTCGAACCCCATTATGGTCCAAGTATTCTTGCCGAGGCATTACATCTCCCCAAGGTCACACTGACTGAGTTGAAAGGCCGAGATTGCGAAACCTGGTTTGTCCGGTACACATGTACACAGCCTTTGCATGACTTGGACGCCATGTTTGTAACATGTTGGACGAGACACTTCATCTAAGGCCGACAATATCGCTAAGGATACATGCTCAAGTGCTTCGCAAAATGGTGTAGAAATTGGTGTTATATTTGATTAGACATACATTTATTCACTGACTTGTTTCCTTCTCATCAAAAACAACGTAAAACACTTTCCCAAAATAACCCAACTTCTCCATGTGGTGGTTTGAGCCCCATAATGGTCCGAGGATTCTTGCCGAGGCATTACAGCTCCCCAAGGTCACACTTACTGAGTTGAAAGGTCGAGATTGCGAAACCTGGTGCGACCGGTTCACATGTACACAGCCTTTGCATGACTTGGACGCCATGTTTGTTTGTGACACGTTGGACGAGCTCACTTCATCTAAGGCAGACAATATCACTAAGAATACATGCTCACGTGATTAGCAAAATGGTCTAGAAATTGTCGTTATATTTGATTAGACATACATTTATTGACTGACTTGTTTCCTTCTCATCAACAAAAAAACACGTAAAATACTTTCAGAAAATAACCCTCCTTCGCCATGTGATGGTCGAAGGATTCATGTCGCGGCATTACAGCTCCCCCAAGGTTACACTGAGTTGAAATCTTTGTTATATTTGTTAAGATATACATTTATTCACTGACTTTTTTCCTTCTCATTATCAAAAAAAATACGTTAAACACTTTCAAAAAATAACCCTCCTGTGGTGGTTTGAACCCATAATGGTCCCAAGGATTTTTGCCGAGGAATAATACGTCTGCAAGGCCACACTGGCTTCATTTCATGGGTGTGGCTTCATTTTTACTCGACCAATTAGACCTCCTCAAAAGCAACATCCGGTGGCCATCAGAGTTTGTGAGAACAACACTGACTGCCGTCTGAAGAACAAACGCCCTACACCGGGACGGATCATTCGCAAAGATTCGTATACGTCTAAAGTTGACCGTAGGTTCGACCGTAGCTCGTCCAAGGTAAGCATAATTCCAAGATATTTGGTTCTTCGCGGTAGTTCTCTTTATTCGTATGATATCAACTGCAAAATTATGTTAGCTGCAAACATTATACAGCATAAACAAAACGATTCTAACTGTACGTGTCTTCCGGGACGGGAGGTTTGTTACTCATGTATTTCCAACATCTTGTAGAATATTTTTCTTTCATTGTAAAAGTGGCTGCGAGAATATAAGTTGTACCTAACTTGAGTTCGCAGTCACTTAGTCCATGTCTTTTCATTTGTAATCATCATTGTGTTTCTGAATAATGAAAAAAAGATATTTGGTTAAACCCTACTGTTGATGTCAAACGCTTTGGTAACATACATGTACAAAGGACGCTTGAAGGACACATTCCTCTCTGATTGGCGACGGGATATAAGGAGTTGTAGTAAACTAAAAACTAATTCCCAAGTGAAAACTGACTTTACATTGGAAAATTACCTTTCATCAATCCGTAACAAAGCCTTTATAGTTGACATTACCAAATTAAGAATCAGTTCGCATGCACAACTTGGCAATAGACAGGGTTCGTTATAGTAATATACCGGCTAACCATAGACAGTGTCCCTCAAGTCAAGAAAGTGTTGAAGATGAGTATCATTTTCTAAAGACCTGTCCTGCCTATACTTTAGATAAATAAAAATCAATGAAAATGATTACATGTAAAGCTAGTAACTCTTTCTCAAAGACAACTACAGACTTTTTAAAACTTCTTATGTCATGCCACCAGATATATTAACAACCGATTATCGTGCAACTACATTTGTCGCAAGTTGTCTTGCAATTTTGATGTAGGATTTTCAAGCTGGGCGTGTCCAAAACATCCTCCAAAACGACATCGTTTTTGTCGGATTTCGGCTATCACATGATGGCACTCAGTGTGTGTTCGTACGATGATCTTACGATAACAGCGATCCATTAAAACATTATGTAAGTCTTGGTTGGATATTAGACATTTAGGCCACACTGATTTAGTTTTATGTATGACATCCTTTGAAGACCCCCGAACTAATGCGCGCGGGCGAATAAAAATAATTCCAGACAAAAATAAAAATGTTACCAAACCACAGGTATACAAAGCTGATATTGTGAATTCGCGGCAGTACTTAGCGACGTATAAGACAAGCCGGCACATGCTGGCTTTTTTGCGGAATTTATGAATCGGTACTGTATGTATGTACTGAGTTCCTGAGTCGTGGAGCTTCGAATTCGATAGCCTGGGTGCTCGGCTCCGTATTGTCGCGAACTACTATGCCTAGAGCCAGACCAGAGCCTCGATGGACGTTTTTTTTTTTTGAGGGCGACAGGCGAAAATCAATGCGCGCGCGGATGTCATCCATAAAATCAAGGCGGTGTGGCCTTAGTACGTTTAACTCCCGGCGCATATCTTCTTCAAGGACTGCACCCTAAATAACAAGATTCCAGAAGGTCGAATCTCGCTGGACTGGATCATCAGTCTGTTAACAAAAGAGTTACCATTGCCTTGGGACATATGCTGAGCACTGTTGAATTTTTGAGAGCTTGTGAGAGAGCGTTACTCGAAGTACGAATTCTGAACACCAAATTTTCAAGAGGTTCATATTTTAGGTAGGCGGATATGTACACTTTTAAGGCCTTTAGTCTTATCAGGTAAGTGAACAGTATATCTACAATGCGGTCTGAAAGGGCTGTATGGATCAGGATATTTAGGATTGAGACTTAGTACATTTAGGACCGCATTCTTGATTAAGAAACAGAAGTCAATTGTAGTAAATAGCAACCATGCACATATTGAAAACCTGTACGTTTGGTGCAAAATTGCAGATGCATACTGTTCCATGTAACTGTTGTTTGTTTTTACTACACAATAATTATGTATACATCACACTTCTGTACGTTTGGAATCGCATTGTAGACACAGTCTCCGGTAACCGTTCAGATCTGTAAACGTTTTACGTTTGGGATCGATCTATAGCATTGAAACCAGTCCTGTGCAATTTAAACCAGTCAGTGTTGCCCTTAGGAAGAAGACAGGCGGTCACTGAAACGTCGGCCGAATAAAACACTTGGTTACATCTAAAGAGTCTCTCTATTCAATTATGTTATGAATTCTGGAATAATTTAGCCCCCATTTTTTAACCTATACACTTATTTTCATCCACAGTATGAAAGTTGCTTTGCTGATAGCTGTCATGTTGGCATCTGCACCTATCGTCCTAACATGGAGAAGGAGGGGAGGGGGTGTGAAGAAAGGTGAAGTAATCTCATGTATTCAACATTTCCTGAACTAGAGGTCGGAGATCTCATGTCTTTGTCAGAGGTACATCGTTCTAGAGAAATTAACATGCGTATTCTTCACTCTTTTTAATAATCAATTTGGTCTAAAGAACAAAAGAATCTCTGTACTATTTTTATGGTACAGAACACCCTGAAACGGTTTGCCGCAGATTTACAGATGCGTCGTCACCCGTGTTACGCCCCCCCCCCCTACGTTATTTGAGTTTGGACTGTTACTGGAAAAAAAACGTTCAAGAAATTCTTACTGTGTTGAAAGTGTCACGACAGCGCCGCAAAATATAATAAGAGAAGATGTTATAAAGGAAAGAATCAGAACAGGGTGACTACTGCTGTTTTGTTAATTTGTCTTTATGACAAATAGAAGACTTGTTTCTTGTGTTCTTTGTGTCCTAACATTTGTACTTCTACAGTTAGTATATTCCAAATCTAGGCATCTCGTTTTTCGGCCCTTCGTGTTTTTATTGCGCGCTTGCCTTAAATTTAAGGTAATTAGATTTAAGGTCTCCAGTGGACGTCATCCATAGCAATTACTTGGTGTGGCCGTAGAAAATAACCTGACATATGTCCAACCTATCCTCCCCCTGCTGAAGTTATAGTACAATCCCTCAATGTAACGTCATTTGATCCCATCCCATTATGGGGTTCCCCGGTCATATCCACTTATCCAGCTGTCGGCTGTCTCCAAGCAGATGTAGGTGGGGGATTTCTAAACACAAAAGGTCCTATTACGGGGACATAACGACCTCCACGACTCTCATCTTTGAACTCAATCTTGGAGACTACGACAGTAATCACGGCGGTCTGTCACTACGGTATTCTTTCCCATTGCTGGGGGCGTTCGATAAAGTATCGGGTTACAAGACGCAATTTTGGGCTAACCGTAAAACATTTGAAAATAAACAAACTAGTATCGAAGGGAAAATTTCGTTGAAATAAAATAAAATTATTGTCTTTACATACATTCAATGGTGATTTTTTGCGCTAAATGGATGATTTTTTCGTATTTCGTTAAAAAAGTCGACAATTTTCGGGATTTTACAGCGTCATATTTTAGCCAATCACCGAGCAAAGCTGGCTACACATATTACGCAAGATCACTGATTTTTATGTTTTTTGACGACTAGGAATAAGACGAAAAATCGTGCTTTTGGGATTTTTTAATTTCTGACTATAAGTATAGTTTTTGTTGACAAATAGGCCAAAAAATCTAATTTTTTGGCTTTTTTCGCACTCAATTACCCATAATTCAAAATCAAACGCATTTTTCAAAAATCCCAAAAGCACGATTTTCGGGACAACCGTGACAGTCATTTTGAGCCGTAAATGGGGTATGTTTGACTCTCCATGTTTCCAGGTTTGAACGAGTTGTGCAGACATGTCATATCTCCCAAAAGTGTGCACCGTGTTATTCATAAAGGCGTAAAGAATCATTACAGTATTCAAGGTCACCCAAGGATACGACAGTAGCTTCGCTACATGTTACATGTCCACAAAAAAATGATAGCGGACATGTACTGTCCTGGAAACTGTTTGTATCTATAGAAAAGTGTTGTTTTTTATCTGTTGCGAGTCACTCAGGCAGAAGGGCTTGTTTTGCCGCTTTATTGCAAATGACCGCAGGTGACCCCGAAATGGAACGCGGGTTCGATTCGAATTGCCCAGATCGAACACGATCGAACACAGTTCGGGTTCTATGACATGTGGGAACTTTACAGCCCAGATTTTACCACCGTGAATATGCCTATCAAATTTCATTAACTTCCATCCACACATACAAAAGTTAATCCTGCTCACAAGAAAAATTAACAAAATGCCCCCTGTAGTCACAACGAAACCCCCCACGAAGCTCAGTAACGAACTTAACCTTGGTCCCGACAATAGTAAGCACCACACCAAGAATTATAATCAACATTTTACAAATACTTGAGTTATCTTGCTAACAAGCCACAAACACAAAAGGTGCACTAACGTGACGCACGGACCCCCCACGAAGCCAAAACTTGTACTTGACTTCGGCCTCAACAGCGGTAATATGCCTGCCAAAAATCATGGACGTCGAATCATGCCTTCCAGAGTTATATCGCAAAATCCGCAGTTCCCAACACTCCGGCGAGACAATTTCATAGTCCTTCTGACGAAGACAATAAGAGCGCAAAGAATATCATCTCCGTGTTAGAGTGGCATCACTCCTGTGGAGGAACCTCTCCCTTTTTCTGACTCCATTTTTGCCTTTTTATTGCTAGTATTTGTCATCTGGGGCTCGGGTGTTTCACCAAATTGTCCCTCCATCTTATGCAAAGAAGCTATCCTTTTCTCCTTCCCCCTGCTGGAGTCCATTTATTCATTCTGATAGTCAACTTACTGTTCTATAGCTTTCCCGTGTCCTTCCAGGCGCACTCCACTCCAATCTGAGCATAGCATTCTGGAAAATATACGTTAATTCGTGTGTGGTTGTGTGGCGTTATGACAGAACGTTAGACTCGGATCCAAGAGGTCCCAAGTTCGAATCCTGCCAAGCCACCGATCTCGTGGGACATGACACGAATTTCCTCACTTAACTCAATACAGGTGAATATGAGCATGGCCGCGTGTTTGTCTGGGTTTGGGGCGGCATTAAAACATGTTGAAAAATTTGATTGTGCCTAGAAAAAATGTAAAGTTGAGAAGCAAAAAAAAAGTGGAACAAAAAGAATGATGTAATAAATGCCTTGAAATGAAGTTACACAGAATAAGACATGCGAGCCTATAACTACAATGAACGCGGGAAGAGCAAATTACAGTCGGTTCAAATTGTACTCTTGTGTAGAATTGACATACATTCTTAATCTGTCCCTACGATTATTATACTTTAATTCGTTCTATGACGGATCAATCACTTCATTGACAGCTGTGACGTTTGACACATTCTTTTTTTGGCAAATTATCTTACATAGGACAGTGCTTTGTTCCAAACATACGTCATGGTAGTTTATTGAATATTACTGCAATGTTACGTCCATCTACAGCTTTTGAGAAGAAAGAAGAGGCTCTCCAAGATGCTGCGGCTATGATGAAGAAAGTGGTGCATGACGAGGAGAGTAAATCGGCCCTGGAGCTAATGAGGGAGTTCCTGGAAGCGGAGGAAAACAACGGTGCGTATATCGCACATTTAAAACTATGCAATTCTAGTATGCAGACTTTTTTTTACATCATCAGTTGGACTACTTCTAGTGCTTGTCGTTACCCCAACTGTGTGTTTTCAATCCATCTATAACAGATAACACCTTCGAAAAGAAAGTGGCTACTCTCCAGGAGGCTGCAGCTGATATGGAGGAGAAGGTGAATGAAGTGGAGGAAGATGCCGCCTTGGGTCTACTGGAGGAGGAGCTGGAGGAGCTGGAAGAGGAACTAGAGGAACTATAAAAAGTCAAGGGCGATGACGATGAGTAAAGATGTTGATGATAACTCTTTAATGATACGTTCTGTTTTTATAATGGACCCCCTCACCATTAGATAGCGACCATACCGACCAAAGTTGATTTTTTGTGACACTTGAGTTATTTCTTGGAAAACCGTGAACTGATACGCCTTCAAACATAATATAACACAAAACGTAAGAAAAATCGCTCTCTCTTTATGAAATTAAAAACATGACATTATTTCTATTGTTTTTATTCATGTTTCTTCTCCATCTTCTTCTCCAGACATTTTTAAATGAATCAAACTTTTCCAGCCAAATGACCTAAAATTTGAGATGGAATTAGAGTAGGCAAATACCAACAGACTTTTTTTCTCATTTTTCTAAAGTCGTTTTATTCGTGTTTTTTTTTATTTGCCATTTTCAGGCAAAAAATATTATATGATATATTTTGCGATCTGGAGCCCTGGTACCAAATCAAATGACCTAAAATTTGGCGTTGGGATACCTTGGACACAAGTCTATAGACACAAGCTTATGACATACATTACTTTAAAATTGTGTAAAATAGGGCTTTTGGCTATTTTCGGACAGGAAATGTACATTTTGGCTCCTTTATCCTAACATTAAAACCAAATGACCTGGAACTTGGTATGGGAGATCCTTGGATACAAGCCCACAGAACGTTATTTACGCTTTTGGCGAGTAACACTTTATAATTATGTACAATGGGACTTTGTTTTTGCTATTTTTGACCAATAATGTACCGTTTTGCTTAATTGGCCCCCAGTGCACTAATATAAAAACCAGAATATAGGTAGCTTGGCACCAAACGCTTAGAGTTCACTTAAGATTCAGTCTTTCTGTTGCATCTGCTCCCGAGCAAATGTCGGCCTTTCTCTAGTCAGATTTCTTTCTTTTTTTCAGTTGCTCCACGGCTACTGAGCATTTCCTGAGGTGATACAATCAATTTGCATAGATTATTTCATTTACGTTAAAATATAAACACAATATCTAAATTTAATCACAGGACATCACTTATCATCTTTGCTAGCATTATCTTTATTGGTGCAATTCTTCTTTATTGTTTTGATAAAAGGTGTATAATATTTTGTAGTACCACTTTCATACGTGAAACTTATGATGTGCATATTACGTATACTAAGAATCTTATGTAATATTTTTTGTGGCATGAATACATGGTTATCTATCACTGACAGCGGATTGTCTTTGTCTTCTTTTCTCACAGTTATGGCAGGTTTGGATTACAGATACGCTTTTATTTTACTTTAACTTATGGGTATTAGACCTGAATCGAAGCGGTTAAGTGATTAATGAAATGTAAGGTGCAGCTATTTCAGTCGCACTTAAAGTGTTACCGTCTTAATATCTTATGATAAGGCCATGTTGATTTGATTATATGGATGACATCCGCGATCCACGGAACACATATTTATGGGTAATCTCTCCGGCAACCTCTCTGCGCTCTTTGCGCGACCGAAAACTCAAATATCAGCAATGGGCGACTAACGAATTCATAGCTCACTCAACAAATTACGTAAATACAAAACAGAACTTTGTAAGTTTTGTTTGTTTCGTTTTTTTTTTTTTCAAATTCATTCTTGTACATCCTGCATCATATTTAGATTATGAAATCAAGGGACGCTCTCACTGCGCTCTCTCTGCGACCTGAAATTGGTCGGAACGCGGAGAGAGCGCCGAGGTCGCCATGTTTTGTATCTAAATTAATGTTTCGGCCGTTGTGCGCTCTCACGGCGCTCATTGTTGCATCGCCGTCCTCGGTGTTCTCATGGCGATGGTATAACCCGGTTTGAAACAGTCGCGGAGGTGACGGTGCTTATAAAATACGACCGGACTATGTCTAAATCATTTCAGGGCGTTTAAAATGTCTATAAAGTACACAAAGGCCAGAAACCTGAAGAAAACCGACATTTGGTTATAAAGGTCAGATACCTTGAAACGACCGGTTCAACCAGTAGACACGTGCCTTAATTAAATATTGTCACAGCGAGTGACCTTCGGCGCCATGTTTAAAATGTGTTGGGTGATCTCACTTCCTGTAAGGGGACACCCTTGTTATAGGTAGTATGGGAAATCAATCTGGTCTAAATATTTTCTACATTTGCTAACAGGCGTATTGTAACTAAGTAGATATTTTCTCATGGACCAAAAAAGTAACAAATGCAAATAATACACTTGAGGACATATCGGCCCTTCTTGGTGTAACCTCACTAAGGATGAACTTAACTGAACAGCATGCCACCCCCACCATGAGACATAATGGTTTAGAACATTTTTTGTACCCCATATAAACCACTTTCGGGCACACTACCACATCATTAAGAATCATCCAGAACTCTTGCAGTTTTTAAATTTCAATTGTATTAACTTGATTGCCTGCCTTCTAGTTGGGCTTTCGACTACAACACCGTCAACATACTCGTACATTAACTCGTAGTCTACGCACAGTTTCACACGACTTAATTGACCGTGACAACTTTTTCAAGGTAAGGATCTTTTTTGTTATTCAATCAATATTTCAAGACTATAAGGTACACTAGGTAAGTATGTTTATATGATAGCGATCTACATGATGTGGTTGAAATCCTATAAATAACACAATTGACTCTTGATCTATTATCTATTTTAATCTGAACATCGGGTATGACAAGAATGGGTTAAAGCACGATTCTATTCATCGTTGGTCGTCATGCGATTGCCATTTAGGAATTCGAAGCAGGTTGAGACAGAACCAGGGCAGCAGCTGACAGGATAGCATTTTGCTAACATGATTGTACTAAGAATGTAAACAGGAATTTAACCACATGCAAGTCTTAATTGGATATTTGTGGACAGGCCATTATGCCATCATAGCATTTGGTATTATCTAATGTTCCACCTACCATAGGGTCCTATTATTCACAATACTAGAATTGCAGCATTTCACGATTAAGTATGCAAAAAATAGCCATTTGTATAATTTGCCTTAGCTACATCTTTGCCTTAGCTACCTACAAAAGAAAATCACGAAAATGCCTTTCTTGCTTTAACCCCCCCCCCCGCCACCTCCCCTTTGTAAAAGGACAACCTCTTGTCTGTATACATGTCATGTATTCTTAAATACCCTACACACTTAAAAAAACTTTACAAAAAATTGTCTCTCTTCCTCCACAGAATGAAATTTACTTTGCTGATAGTCATTATGTTGGCATCAGTCGTACTGGGTTTTTTGCCGGGCCCTTGTAGGAAAAAGAGGTGGAGCAAATGCCATCGCCTCTTCAAGAGAGGTAAAACAGTAACATTTATTTCCTTTCTTTGCTCCTTCCACAGCAAAAACGTACCTGAACAGCACCTGAAACACTTAGTGGGGAGGAGGGTACACTAAACCATTCCACAATTATATGAATAATTATGTTTAAAGTTAAAACTTTTGGTCCAACACAAAAAATTCTCTCACCTAGAGCTTTCGACCAGGCACTCTGGTCTTCCTCAGTAGACTGACCCAGTGATTATATGTAAAATTGTGGAGAGGCATGAAGTACAAGTTCTTAGCTGATACATAGACACACACACAAAAAAAAAACAACATTGGAATCCAATAGGACTAATCGTGTGGCAAGACGATAGGGTCCCAAGTCAAGAATCGTGTACATTTTGACACGGCACGGCACAGACTCCTTAGTGTTCATGTATCCTACCACGGGCAGAGCTTCATGCATTTAACTGAACTTTGTGCAATGGATGACTTACTTGAAAACAGTATCGTTTTACACATCGTAAGATGAAGAGCAGAGACATGAAGTAGTCATATTATATTATTTAGTACATAGCTTTTAAGCTGTACGTCTATCAACAGAAGACACGGTCCAGGAAAAAGAAGAGGCTCTCCAAGATGCTGCGGCTAATTATAAGCTGGAGGAAGTGGTGCATGACGCTGAGAGTGAATTGGTCCTGGAGCTGATGAGGGAGTTCCAGGAAGTGGAGGGAAATAATGGCGCCTTTATTGGTGCGTATGATTGTACATTTACAATTGTAGTTAATTTAGATCTTTAAAATGATTTTTGACTTCTTATAGTGCCCTGTTCTTACGTCAACTTTGTGGGTTTATTTAATCTATCTGTCACAGGTGACACCTTGAAGAAGAATCTGGCTACTATCCAGGAGGCTGCAGCTGATATGGAGGAGAAGGTGAATGAAGTGGAGGACGATGCCGCCTTGGGTCTACTGGAGGAGGATCTGGAGGAACTGGAAGAGGAACTAGAGGAAGTCAAGGACGACCCTGATGAGTGATGATAGTGAGGATAATTATCAAACGACATGACCTGAATTTATTATATGTCACGATACAACGGAGAAAAACAAATGCTATATATAGAGAGCGACCGAAGTTGGATTTTGTAGCCCTTTAGTAATTACTTCTTGGATCTTTTTTTATAAACGAAGACTCAAAAAAGCGTAATAAAATCGTTCTTTATACATAAAAATCGTTGATCAATCAGTTAAATCTTCGGTCACTCAGCGGTCCCAGGATCTAGTGCAAAGAGGGGATAACACAAAGAATGCTTACAGAAAAAATATAATGTTCATAAAGAAAGATCACTAAATTTGAACATGATACAAAGACGACTTGGAGTAACATGAATCAACACAGTTGCCTTCTTAAATCGAAATGCTTACTTTACTTTTATTGCTCAGAGACCCAGTGGCACTGCCTGCGTTAAAATCAGCAAATCCGTGGACGCAGGACCTATATAAGAGTTTTTGACATTGCGGATTTTTTATTGTGATGACTTTCACTGGTCAGGCCATAAGAACCTTGATGGACAACACCTCGTAAATATTGGAGCATTCTTATCCTCTTGATTGTATCACATGAATTTTTAACATTTCGGAGAATCCAAGACATGTCATGAAGAGACATGACTATCAGATTTGACCAAACACACCATAAATATACCATGAGTAGTCGGAATGGACTATTAGTTTTAAATAACAGCACTTGCCATGGGTTATTCCATGGTTTCAAATGCAGTCTTTACTATTAGCAGTAGTATAGTTTAACTCCACAAAGCTGGTAGTCCATTTGTTGTGTTGTTGGGGCGACTTACATTGGCACCCCCCCACACACACACACACACATACATACACATATATACACACACACTGACATATATACAAAGATACGTATTCTGTTTGTCCAGGTGCATTTTGTACAATAAAGAGTTCTAGATCATCTGGAACGTCACTTGCATCCTGTAATCTATCGCCCAGAAATATAATAAACTTGGCAGCTCTATGACTACTTCAACACCATTTGACTATTCAGAAATCATTTCAAGGCCAAAGGAATGAAAAGAACAATAACTTATTAGTATGATTATGATTATTCCAGGGTTAAAGGGCAGAGACTGTGAAAACTCGTACAACCGGTACACATGCTCATTTGCATAACTTAGTAGCGATCCTCAGCGAACTGAATGACCTTGGGCGGCATGTTTGTTTATATTGGACGATCTCACTTCTTGTGAGGGGACAAAGTCTCTGAGGTCTTTCAGCCTGCATGCGTCGCGACATTGATCTGGTCAAGTTTTTTTTTCATATTTGCTTACACAATTGCATGCTGACTTATTAAATTAGATATTTTTTTCTCTTCAAACAAAGAAGGTACAAACACTTGGTACGAAAATGTTAGAAAAAACCGGCCAAAGTCATGCCCCCCTCCCCAAATTCTTCACCAACAGCCATAATGATTTACAGCATTTCGGTTGGCAACCGTCTGTTGACAATGACATCGTACTGTGGTTCAGTCTGTATAGTTGCGTTTGTTATCTGGATCTGGTTTGTATGTATAATCAGATTGAATTAAACCTCCTATAAGATAATAAAAGGGGTGTTATTCTTGTAGAAAACTTGTTTTTTAACACTCATCTAAATACCATAAATCGTGCAGGTTCATTTACATTTTTTCAAAGTATTTAGTTGTTTTTAAATGTTTTTAAAATTTGTTTTGAAATGATTTATGAATGGTCAGCTCAAGTTGTATTTAAATAGTTAGGTCTATGTTAAAGTCTATATACAGTCTAAGTAAGAATTATAGTTTTTGCCTCAAGAAAATTAAGTTTGAGCTTATATTTATGCTATTGTACTAGTTCCTTCTCAAATCTAAAACGTTACGGAAACACCATTGTAGGTGCATCATACGATGTATGTGATCGGTGCTTTAAAGATACTTGACTTCAGTTGACTTCACAAGCTAATTTTATTTATTTATTTATTTTATTTAGCACATACATAATGTAAAATTATACAAAATAATACAAAAGAAATAAATGTGCAAGGGCAGGACGAAAAGCCGCAATGCCCTCTCCTTCATGATTATACAATGTCTACAGTTTGTTGAATGAAATATAAATAACAAAGAAGTAAAAAAAGATAATAAACAAGTATAATGAAAAAATGAATCAATTTAACAAAATAATTAAGTTTAGCATAAGTAATGAAACAATACGGTGAGCCAAACTAGATACTAGTAAGTAGGATTGGCTACATGAAGATAAAAATATGACAAATCATCAATTTAGTTAATACATATATCAAACAATATAATTAGAAAAATATGAAAACGCTGTATAGAAGGATATGATTTGAATGTTAACCAGACCTAGGGAAGTGTGGGGTTATTTGAGCGTAAAACAGCACAGAACAATTGTAGTTGCCCCTGATCACATAAATTTATTAAAAGGCACTGTGAATAGTGAAGAATGAATCAACAGAGACAGGAGATGTCAAGAAATATGAGTTGTGTTGTCAATGATGATGTTATCTTATAAATTTGCTAAGATAGAGGTGTGACACCATTGTTCCTTCTCTACCATATGATTGTCGTCTATTGTTTTATTTACTTATTAACAGACTTATTATAACAGATCTCAAATAGAGGTAAATATTAAAGGAAGAGAGGCATAGACCATAGCTAAAGTGGCTTAAACCAATGTTTTGAGCGCGCCAGTCTAAAGTAAAATGTGAAATAATAAAGTGGATATATATAGTTAAATTAAGATAAACTTTAATGCTTAAGACACTTTATGCTTCAACTCAATATGATATATCATAGCAACATAATATAGCAGAGCGTGACATTACGTAGTGTCATAGAAATATAATAGCATAGCCTAATCATTATAAAAGATATTCTGACATAAGCTTCCAAAGCCTCACATTTGGTAACAATTCTTGGCCATTCTTGACGATGTTAATACTAGCCTTATGTTACCCGTGACAAAGCAAACATTTGCATCAGATTCTATTGATGTTCGCTCAGGTGTGAAGCATTGGCGGCCAAAGACCTTATGATAATGAAGAATGCCTAATCAGATGTGCAACAGACACAAAGGGTGCAGAGATGGGCTCAGCTTAGTGACCCAGTGTGACTCTGGCAGATTGCCAAAGACTAATGAAACACTCCCCCTTTGACTGTGGAGCTTGGCTTAGTAAAATCGATGTTCTGTTTCCGATTACGAAAACCGGTTCAGTCACTATGCCCTGAATACTTTACCCCTTTTTAGAAGATTTCTGCTAAAGATATCTAACAAATACAATTTGATAATGTAAAACTGAAATACATCAGTTCACTAAAATCTTCAACATATCTTTGATCAAGCAACATACATTGCACACGAGTATGATTATCAATAACCTGAACAAATAACTACAATGTTTACTACACACACCACACAGTTAACATCACTTTTTCTTGCAACAGAAAAATGACGATAATATATAAGAAAACTATTCCACTGCGTTTTTATCACTTAAATGTCATATCGAAATTTTTACGTCACATACCAGCTGTTGACCCTTTTAAAATGGCAAGGGTTTTTTTTAGATTTCGCCGGGCTTCACAACACAACTGGAAACACAATATTGTTTTTCCAAGGCCAAACCTGTTTTCCAAGGCCTGTCGAGGGATCACAGGTAAAGAATCCAGTCTGCTGGGCTCACAACGTGACGTACTGTTCCTCGTCTTGACTGGTGAGTACAGTTAATTATAGACCTCTCTATTTCTATAGCAACCTGGAAATCTGCCAGTTTGGCAATCTGCCACTTGCCGTCGAAATCCAGTAATACCCCCTCCACTTACGTTAAGGGGCGAACCTGTGGAGAGAGTCTCTTCATTTAAGCTCCTTGGAGTAGTTGTCAGTAATGACCTTACATGGGGACCATATGTCGAGTATACGTTGTCAAAGGTTCAGCCACGCATACATTACTTGCGGGTTGCACGACGTAGGATCATCCTGGGCCGTAGGTACACATCTTACCGGGACGCTTTGCAGCACCTTAACCTACAATCACTTGCTACTCGCAGACGTGACTTGTGCTACAACTTCGCCATCAAAGCCAGACAGTCGCCGCGGTTCTGCTCCTGGCTACCACAGGCCCGAGGCCAGCAGCACGGTAGACACTTACGGAACTCTTCACATTACCATCAAGCCAGCGGAACTAAGCGATACGTTACTAGCGCAAAACCCTCGCTGGCAAAACTCCTTGTTAGTGTGTAAATGGAATATTATGATTATATCCTTGTCGAACCCTTCCTGTCGACGTCGACAATAGCTCGAACGATGTTGCACTTTACTGCTAGTTCATTGTCTATTTTAACCTGTATATATTTTAATCTGTCGGAATTTCCTTTTAAAATGTTTGTAATGGAACGGTGCAATTCAGTTACTACTGCAAGGCCGTTTTTATTGTGAATAATAATAAACCAATGATGATGGTGATGATGACGTGCTGGCTTACCTTCAGTTGTCCTCCTGCAAATCTACAAGTCTTTCATCCGCCCGGTGCTAGAATATGGCTCCCCCGTGTGGGGCGGTCTCCCGCGCGGTTTGTCAGATGACTTGGACAGAGTCCAAAAGACATGTCTCAAGATCTGTGGATTATCCCCCAAACAACTGCCAACCCTTGAGTCAAGGCGAAGGGAAGCGTCCGTTCGAGAACTGAGAAGGATCTTGAAAGATCCCTCCCACCCCTGCCACGCTTTCATTCAGCCGACTGAAGAACCGCGTTATGAACTGAGACGCAGATCACAGTACAAACTCCCAGTCAGCCGGACTGAAAGACACAAAAACTCCCTTGTTGTGAGGGCCATCAAAGACCTAAAAAATTCATGCTAAGGCCCATATTTCTTGTTGTCCACGTTATCTTATTCATATATGTACATTTTAACACTGTGTGTCCATTATATAGCCCATGTAATTTTACTATTTTTACTATACTAGTATTTTAATGAATCAATTATGTAACGTAATATCTTTTATTGTAAATCAACGCAATTCAGTCTTAGGACTGCCAAGTTGATAAATAAAGTTTGATTTGTTTTGATTTGAAGAAAAACTTTTTGCTGCATTATGCACAGTAACGTTTCTCATGAAAAACTTGTCCAAGGCTTCGTAGGCGCAAACCGAAAAGTGCCGAACGTAGTTGCCATATAATTGTATGGGCGAAAGATCAGTCAATACAGTAGACATCGACGGTAGATACAGTATGTTCCCAGACACGACCCCTAGTCACGTCCTAACTAAATTGTTACATTTCGGAGGCGAACAAAGTTGTCGTTTTTTTTGTTTTACCTGTTCAAGAATGCATGCAGTGGAAAGTCTTCTTCTTCTTCTTCCGGTAATGTCCAACTGCCGGTGCCGGCAAAAATTGACATGTCTCGGGTCAAAGGTCACCGCGTTGCTGAGTCTAGGCCGGACGGGACACCCTTGAGACAAAGGTGGCCAGAGACGGGGACAGAACAGTGTCTATAGCTATGGGCAGAACAGTGTCTTTGGGCAGTCTGTAAGAATAATAATGTTTCAGTAGTCGTGTGAGCTTTTATGCTTTGATGCCGTGTATTGTGACAGGATTAGTCCACCCAAGTATATCTATAGGTATCTATGTCTAGCTATAGGTAGGTTACTGTTGCAAGACACATGCATCCCCCCCCCCAAAAAAAAAACACTCTAATTTTGCCTAATAGTATATGACTCGACTCTTTCACAACAATGCGTCTCTATATAACTACAAATAACAGCGTAACAACTAAAATTTTAGCAGTCAAGGAAAGTATGTCTGGAATCATTTTTTCACAACTTACAAAAAAACAGACACACACAGTTTTTTGGCAACTTGTCAAACATGAGTTATGTGCTCTAGTTGTGCTCTAGAGGTATGAGTTCTGGAGAACTCATACCTCTAGAGTTCTGGAGAACTCATACCTCTAAAGCACAACTAGAGCTCTATAAATTTCACATTTTATCTTGTCTCAATCTTATCTTGACGTCTATCTTGTATCAAAAATATTGTAATTAGCATGATATATTTTAATTGATAATCGCAATTGATAATTGGAACTGCAAGCGTGTTTTCATTGGAACCTTTTAAACAAAATAAGAAGGGGTAAAGGGATGTTATCGTAGAGTTTTCGTTAGCACTCATGGCACGCATAAAGAAGCCAAGAAATTTGGCTTGCCTAATATACTTATATTTAACATTAATTTCATTCTTTAATCTATCTGTGTCTTTTCACCATTTAGTCTAAAGAACGGACTACAAACAGCATCGCCAACTTCCAATTTCAGGTAAGCGGATATGTACACTCTTCAGGCCTTCAGTCTCACTGGGTACAGGGAACAGTATATCTAGAATACGGTTCGAAAGGGCTGTATGGATAAGGAGATCTACTCCTGTCATGGAGGGGGGATACAGACTCACGTTTGAAACCGAATTCTTAATTACGAAGCAGAAGTAAATTGTGTTAAATAACAACTATGTACTTATTACACACCTGTACTTTTGGTACCGCATTGTAGATGTACTGTTCTATGTAACTGTCGTTTGCTTTTTAGAGATCACAATCTTGTACGTTAGGGATCACATTGTATATACAGTTCCCCGTAACAGTGTAGATCTGTAAACATTTTACGTGTGCGTGGGAACCCGTCTATAGCATCGACACCTGTGCTTTGCAATGTGAACCAATCATAGCTGCCCTAAAGGAATCTGACAGACGGTCACTGAAACATCGGTTGAACAAAACACTTTGCATTCTTGAATAATTTACCCCTCTTTTATAAACCTAAACTCTTTTTTTCCACAGTATGAAAGTTGCTTTGCTGATAGCTGTCATGTGGGCATCTGCATCTGTTGTCCTGACAGGATCCAGGGAATGGAGGTGTAGGAGGAGGCTTCATCGCAAGAAAGGTGCTCTCGTGTATTGACAATTTCCTGGATAAGAACGCAATATGTATCATCTGTCTAACATAAATCTTTATAGTTCATTGAATCATCATCATCATCTGGGTGGCTGTAGAGCAGACGACTGTGAGTTCCCTCCAGTTAGTCCTGTTCTGGGCGATGTCAGCAATCCGTTTCGGAGAGAGGTCCGAGTTGTTGTCGCCCAGCAACCTCTGGATGTTCTATAGGTATGTGGTGGGTTGGCGACCACGTCTCCTTCTATCATGAGGTGGCACGTAAAGTGCGTAAAGCCTGGCTGGTTCTTCCTCAGGCACTTGCAGAATGTGACCCAGAAATTTCAGCTGCCTCCTATACACCTGTTCTATCAGAGGTTTGGTGTTCGTCATCTCGTAAATGCTACTGTTGGGTACGCGATGAAGCCTTTTAATACTCAGCATGTTGCGGTAGCACGAGGTTGCAAATGAATTGATTTTGTTCTCCAAATCCTTTGTGATAACCCATGACTCACACCCATAGGTAAGTATTGTTACACAGGACACCTGGAACAGTTTCACCTTAGTGGCGATTGGCACAAAACGCGGACCAGGCTAAGCCTCTGCGCCTCTTCAGATCATTGAATATTACTGAACATTTACATACATCCACAGAGGTACCATTCCTGGAGAAAGAAGAGGCTCTCCAAGACGCCGCGGCTAAGCTGGAGGAAGTGGTGCATCACGCGGAGAAATCGGTCCTGGAATTGATGAGGGAGTTCCAGGAGGTGGAGGAAAACGATGGTGCTCTTAGTGGTGCGTCTAAAACTCATCTAAAACTCATACATTTTAAATCATGCAAATAGTATGTAATTTTTCAAAACATTTTTAGACTACTTCTGGTGCCTTGTTCTTACGTCAACTGTGTGGGCTTATTAAATATATTTTTAACAGGCAACACCTTCGAGAACAAAGCGGCTACTCTCCAGGAGGCTGTAGCTGATATGGAGGAGAAGGTGAATGAAGTGGAGGAAGATGCCGCCTTGGGTCTACTGGAGGAGGAACTGGAGGAGCTGCAAGAGGAGCTTGAGGAAGCCAAGGACGATCCTGATGAGTGATGATGGTGAGGATGATTCTTTAAACTATATGTCCTGTTTTTATACGTACTGCTATACATCCTACAATACAATCAAAACATAATAGTAACTGTAATGTACAAGAAACAGCAAACAGGGATTTTATACTATTGGACGTCTTTTTCAACTAGATAGCGATTGCTGAATTACCGTACAGCGACCAAAGTTGGATTTTTGTGACCCTTATCTTATATCTTCGAAAATTATACAAAGTGAACAAGTATGTATGATATAAAAAAAAACAATAAAACACACTGAACGTAAGGAAAATCGTTCTTTACGTTTCATAAAATTCCATGAGCGATCCATAAAATCTTCGGTCACCCAGTGGTCGCAGCACCTAGTTGAAAGAGGATGTGATATAAAGAACACATACTGCTTAAAATGACCTATATTAAGAAATAGACAGAAAATTCAAACATACAACAAGCAGGCCAGATTAAGAAGAAAAATTAATCAACGTGTTGCCTTACAATCTCAAATGACTTCCAAGTTTTCTTTTATTCTTCAGACACCAGATGTTACTGACTGCGTCAAAAGCAACCAGTGGAGGACCTTAAAGCTTTAGATCATTGATACCACGACTAGCTTCCTGTCTAGTTCCGTTGACAATAAGGTGAAATCAATTTAAAAATTCAAATGCAGAAAACAATGAACGACAGAGGAGGCTTATTATGGGTTCACCACACCACGAAGTGGTGGTGAACCCATATTGCTTTTTCTGATGTTTCTTCTCCTCCTCCTCCTCCTCCTGCCACTTCTTTAAATTGATTCAACTCCTTCATTTTTGGGCAAAATTACCTGTAATTTCGTATAGAGGTAGAGTGGGTAAATACCCTTAGGCGTTTTTTAAATTTTTTTGATACAAGCTTTTACAATCGTCTTATTTGCTTTTTAGTGGTCCCCATAGGAAAGTACTGTGGGGGCGTACGCGCGTGACGTAATAAGAAAGGAATTCGGGGGAAGGCCCAAGTATGGGCATACAAGCAGGTGTGGTCATGTTTGCAGATGTGGCTGTTGATTGGCTGTTGGCTAATTAATTTATTTACTACCATTTTCACGTACCAGCGCAGCTGGTCCACGCGGTCTCGGCCGTGGGCCATGATACTCTGATATTGGATACCGATTCGTGTGATTCCTATAAACATTTCACCTAACTACGAACTAGTTGGAAGAATTATAGCTGCATGGATGCCTGTATATGATTTTAACAAACACTGAAAATCTGACGCAAAAACTGGCAGATATTTTGCTCTTCTCTGTTGGAACAACGCAAGCGGGAGGTCAATGACCTGCGCCCCGCGAGTACTGTAAACAACGGTACGTAATGTGTATCGTCGGCGCAAGCGCGCGCCACGGTATCAACAATTTTCCACAATCTTCACCGACTAGTATTATATATTCTGTTATCGATTTCTGAAGAATCACCAAAATTGTAGAGTGTATCTCCTAGAAAGTCCCTTACTAGTACTTGAAGCGATCGTTACCGCCATATGCATGTTGTTCACTTTATATGACATACTAAGCAGAGAGTAATGGAAACGTGTCCAGATAGCTCGGTTGGTAACGCGCAGGGCTGCAAGTCCAGACATTACGAGTTCGAACCCCGGTACACTGGATATTTTTAATTATCCTTTTTACAATTTTTAACAATTTTAACATTTTTAACAATTTCAACAATTTTAACCATTTTAACCATTTTACATTTTAACAATTTCAACATTTAATTTTAACATTTTCGTTTTAATATCCATTGCTTTGCTTTTAACATTCCAAAACTGATTGTTCTTACTCAAGAATTTCAATAACTTCGAATGTTAGTCTTTTGTATTTTTTCAACATACAAACCAAAATCACTTTGATGTTGTCACAAAAGTAACATCTGT